TTCACGGTGGCTAACTGGATGTAAGGACCAAGAAGGGTAGAGGAGTCTTGGCCTACAAGGTGAATGGCAATGCCAATGTCCAAGATACGGCATATTTGAGCAAACTGGGGGGGAGGAAGACGATGAGTTCACGCTTATATATGAGGAACCTGAGTCTCATAGTGGCTAAGACCTAACCAAAAGTCACACTAGTGGTTAATGGCCAAGCTAGAATTCAAGTATATTTTGGCTGCCTCCACATCTATGCTCTTTTCATTGATCCAACCTGCTTTGTTGGTCCTTTTGTGGGAAAACTCAATGGGTATCAATTGAATTTTGTTGGAGAGACAGTAAGGGGTATTTACCAAAAAAAAAGTTAGTTTTCTTTCTGTCCTTGTGCTCACCAAAAAAGGTACCAAATCTGAAACTATTTTTCCCCTCCCCATCACTCCCCCACCCCTATAGTCCAACTTTTTCTATTGGATTCCCTACAGAACACTAAGCCCTGAAAAGAAAAGGCACTGGAAGGCCCTCACACAGCTCAGGATAATTATCATTATCTACAAACTACATATTCACTTGTCTACATTGCCCAAGTTTAAAGGCTTGATAAAATTGTGTTTTTCTGTTGTTGCTTTCATAGTATCCAAAAGTAGATGCAGGTTGTAAAGTCAGCGGGGAAGAGAGCACACATTTTGCTGACAGTAGAACTCATTCATAAATCTTACATACAGAGTGGAAGACTAAATTTAGATTTTAAATCAATTGACTTTTCTAGAAGCTTGGAATTATTGACCAAATGAAAAAAAATGTATCCCTTTTTTTCCATTTACAAAAATTGTTACAACTCTTTATGCTTTACTGGAAGATGGTAAGGCACAAATTTTCAACCATCTCATGTTTTTTATATCAAATTTCAAGTATAAATATAAGATTAGAGGGTAAAATTGCTCAGAATTATAAAATTTTCCTTATTCACCAAACATCTGTTTGTATAAATTATGTACATTGAACCTCTTTGTTAAAATTAGAGAATGTCAAAAAGAGTTGTGCAGAATTTCAAAATTTTACTATCTAAAGGTTTTTAAGAATCGCTTGAAGTCACCACGCAACCTCTTAGTAAATAGATAAATTACCCAATTATACAGAAATAGATTATTCCCTTCATCCCTGTAAACTACACCACAGTTCACCTACATGAACACAGTGCAAAGATTAATATTTTTGTTCACCTAAATTATTGATACTGATTAGTAAAAATAGTTCATTGAAAATGCACTAGAAAGGAAATGCCCCAAGGAGAATTACAAAATATTTCATTTACTTAGAAATTGACTCATCACCAGAGTTCTTAATAGTTAGCAAAAGGGATGCAGAAATAGAAGTATAATGATGTACACCTGAAATTTATACAATGTTATAAACCAATGTTACCGCAATAAACAAAAAATTTTTAAAAAAATAGTTAGCTAAAGGAAAAGCTTTTAATAAAATCCAAAAATTGCAGTATACCATATCCTGGCTCATCCAGCTATAGATGACTCCAAAAGATAATAATCTGAGGATAGGTCACAAGATGAAAGACCGTAAAACATGGCTATCAGACTTTAAATGTGAAAATGTCACTTGTTCTATTTTCATCCATGCCATGTGAAATGATTTCTGCTTATTGTTTCTCATTCATTCAGCAACTATTTACCGAGCTTAAACTTAACTTTACTAAGTACATCACGAAATACCCAGAATCATGATTTCTAAGCCAATTTGGGATATTTTGCCTAAACTCTACTTTCATTTCTGATAGTCACACATCAGAAGCTGCTTGAGCAAGTTGTTTCTGGGGATTGAAGATGAACACCCTTGAGAAATTCATAGTGGAGAGAAGATAATCATAATAGAAATATAGGTGAAGTACTATGAGTTCACACTGCTTCTAGTTTCTCCTTGGATTTGTTTAAGAGAAACAATGTTAACTGGATTTGAGGTAAATATAAAACCAAGTAGAGGATTAAGAACAGTTCTGATAGTGGGCGTTCTCCTGTGCTTAGAATCACGCAGCGTCCTGGCCCAGATCAGGGGGTCCTTCACAAAAGATCTGAGCTTTAGGGATTTGAACTGGGCTTTGGAGGAAATCCAGGATTTAGACATTTAAGGATGGGGGAAGAAGAAAGAGTGGTCTGTCAATGTTGGGACCCTGAACGTGGGAGTCAAGTAGGGAGAGGGGGACAACGGGCAGGCCCTGACCTTTCCAGAGGTTGTGAGTTCTCCAAGGATGGAAACTGACACAAATGAGAACCGTGAATGGCACATTAGTGTAAACCCTGGTTTTGTTCTTCAGGGCCTATGTAACACTTTTTTCTCTGGGAGAAGGGTGCTAAAATAAGTAATGGCAGATTTTTCATAGGAAAACTGTCAGTCAGGCAGCTTATCTAGAAATTAAGCTGGCAAGCCCTCAGAATTAGTATTTATAAAACTCTGGTCCCGGGACCAGAGAAACAGGGTAATAGAAACTGGAAGCATGTTTGTAATAACAGATTGCTTTACCCTCTATGCACAAACTTATCCCACCCAAAGATCACAATCATTCAAAATCACCTAGATGTTATGGGAGAAATGCTACTCGATATACAGATTTCCCACGACAACACTCTCAGAGAAAGAAAGAGACTGAGAGATGGTTGTTTCTTGTGATGTGCAGTTAGTTGGGACGCAAGGTCCAGGCTTTCTTCCAGGGACACCCAATCCTGAGTCAACCAAATATCATTAAAAGTGATGTGGAAGGTGCTGGGAACAAGAGAGCTAATAATAGCGTGTTCATATACTATTATGCAGTGGGATAAAGCCACTGCACAACCCACCACTCACCACCATTTTTTTTTAAGTATTTGGGTAGGAATATTGATTACCTATTAATTCTGCATCAGAAAATTGAAGAAGTGAAGATTTGAAGACCCTTGCTCAGTGTGCAGCCAAACTAAGAGACTGAAGAAGGAAGCTTATCAGTCACTGCTCAGCACATGGTGATGACAAAAAGTACAAGTCCCAGCAGGCCTGAATGCAATGCTAGGAGCTGAAATAAGAAGCCAACTGCTATTGGAGGTTTTAGTTCTGCAGCTAAGCACCAACCAGCCAACTGCTGGAAAGCTGTTCTCTGGAGTTGGAATGACTATCAATAATGCCCATGTATAAAGTGCCGGTCAACATGGGCCAGGACAAATCAAGATGGCCCATCCAAATATTGTATCAAGAATAGGAGAACTAGTGGGGTAAGCTGCTTTTCCAGCCTGAGCCTAGTTGACAGGTGTCATCTTGGATGTGAAGATGACTACTCCATCATCTTCATGTTTCAGGATGCCTTTTATGAAAAGACTGTTTACAAAAAGAAAAATATTTACAAAAGACACAAAATGTGTTCCTTAGGAAATTATGTACCATAGAAATGAAACAATATCAGAGTGTTTAGTGATTGATTTAAAAGGTCTACAGGACCAGGCCACACCCTGTGTTTGGAGATAGAATGTTCCTCATGAAGTGGAAATGCATGTCCACTTAGGAAATTATCTTGAAGAATGAAGAAAGGAAACCAGCCTAGTAAGAACCTGAGATTGGCTCTGTATAGGGTAATAATTGTAAGCTGTAAGCCAGAGTGGCATGTTAGGAGGGGCAGTCATTGAAAGACAGCTATGCCCAAAGGAGCTGCCGTTTCAGTAGGGCACGCTGCAGCCACGGATGCAGGAGGGCAGTGAAACAAAGAGGCCAGCGTAGATTAGCCAAAGGCATGTTTTTTCATAAATACATGTGAGGCAATACCAAGTAAACTTTCAGAAATAACAGAGAGACATATAGATCAATGGAATGGAACTGAGAGTCCAGAAATAAATCCATACATCTATGGTCAACTGATTTTTGAGAGAGTTGCCAATACCATTGAATGGAGAGAAAATAGTCTCTTTAACAAATGATGCTGGGACATCCAAATGCAAAAGAATGAAGTTGGGCCCTTACTTCAAGTCGTATATAAAAATTAACTCAAAATGAATCAAAGACCTAAATGTAGGAGCTAAAACTATAAAATTCTTAGAAGAAAACACAAGGGTAAATCTATATGGCCTTGGATTTAGCAAAGAATCCTTAGACATGACACCAAAAACATGAACGACAATAGAAAAGATAGGTAAATTGGATTTCATCAAAATTAAAAATTTTTCTGCTACAAAGGATAGCATCAAGAAAGTGAAAAAACCTACAGAATGGGAGAAAATATCTGCAAAACATTTATCAGATAAAAGACTTGTATCTAGAATATATAAGGACACATCACAACTAAATTATAAAAAAAAAATGATCCAATTAAAAAACAGGAAAAGGACCTGAATAGACATTTCTCCAAGGAATATACACAAATGGACAATTAGTACATGAAAAGTCATGCACTTGACATCATTAGTCATCCGGGAAATGCAAATAAAAACTACGATGAGATACCACCTCACACCCACCAGGATGGCTAGAATCGAAAAGCCAGATAATAACAAGTGTTGGTAAGGATGTAAAGAAATCAGGATCCTCATACACTGCTGGTGAAAATGTAAAATGGTGCAGCTGCTTTGGGAAACAGTCTGACAGTTCCCCAAAGAATTAAACATAAAGTTACCATATGATCCAGCAATTCCACTCTTAGATATATACCTTAGAGAAATGAAAATATATGTCTGCACAGAAACTTGTACATGAATGTTTATAGCAGCATTATTCATGAAAATAGCCAAAAGGTAGAAGCGACCCAAATGTCCATCAACTGAAGAATGGGTAAACAAAACATGGCATACTCATATAATGAACACCATTCAGCCATAAAAAGGAATGAAGTGCTGATATATGCTACAACTTACAGGACCCAGGAAAACACTATGCTATGTGAAGGAAGTCAGTCACAAAAAACTACATATTATATATGCCCACTCATATGAAAGTTCAGATTAGGCCGATTCAGAGAGACAGAAGGTAGATTAGTGGATTCTTAGGGCTGTGGGGAAGATGGGGGAATAGGGAGTGATAGCTAAAGGGGATAGGGTTTCTTTTTGAGTGATGGAAAATGTTCTAAAATTGACTCTGGTGATGGTTACCTGCATCTGTGAATATGCTAAAAACCATTGAATTGTACACTTTAATTGGGTGACTTGCATGTAGGTGGTATATCTCAATAACGATATTTTTAAAAAAAAAAGAATAGAGAAATATTTTAGATGATGGCTCACTTTTGATAGTAGAGACTTGCATCATAAACATGTTAAGTATAACAAGTTTGATAGGCATCAATATTCATAATATTTTATTTCTTCACATGGAAAGTAGGTACACATTTTTTTCTTCTATTATTTCCATCCTTTTTTGTATGACTGAAATATAAGTCTGGAAATGTGATTCTAGGAATGATGGAGTATGTTTACTTTACTGTAATTCTCCACTGAATGGTGCTATAAACCTCTAAAAAATGTATAAAGCAGCTATTTGAGGACTCTGAAGAGTGAATAGCCCAATCAAAATCCTAGCAAGTTATTTCGTAGATATGAACAAACTGATTCTAAAATTTACATGGAGAGGTAAAAGACCCAGATGATCAACATGGAGGAGAAGAACAAAGCTGGAGGCCTGCGGTTACCTGACTTCAAGACTTACTATAAATATACAATAATCAAGACAGTGTGGTATGGACAAAAGAATAGTCAGATTAATGGAAGAGAATAGAGGGACCAGAAATAGACACCCACAAATATAGTCAACTGATATTTGACAAAGGAGTAAAGGCAATACTATGAAGCAAAATAAGTCTTTTCAACAAATAGTGCTAGAAATGCTGTACATGCATATGCAAAAGAAAATGAATCTAGACACAGACTTCACATCTTTTATAAAATTAAACTTACGAGGCCAGCCGAGTGGCATAGTGGTTAAGTTCGTGCACTCTCCTTCTGGTGGCCCAGGGTTCGCAGGTTCAGATCCCAGGAGTGGACCTATGCACCACTCATCAAGCCATGCTGTGGCAGGCATCCCACATAAAGTAGAGGAAGATGGGCACGGATGTTAGCCCAGAGCCAATCTTCTTCAGCAAAAAAGAGGAGGATTGGCAACAGGTTTAGCTCAGGGCTAACCTGCCTCACACACAAAAAAAAAATTAACTCAAAATGAATAACAGACTTCAATGTAAAATACAAAAGTATAAAACTTCTAGAAAATGACATAGGAGAAAATCTAGATGACCTTGGGTATGGTAACGACTTTTAGATATAAGACCAAAGGCACAATCCGTGAAAGAATAATTGATAAGCTGAATTTCATTAAAATTAAAAACTTTTGTGAAAGACAATGAGAAGAGAGAATGAGAAGACAAGTCACAGACTGGGAAAACATATTTGCAAAAGATTCATCTGATAACGGATTGTTATCCAAAATATACAAAGAACTCTTAAAACTCAACAATAAGAAAACAATCCAATTAATAAATGGGCCAAAGACCTTAACAGACATCTCAAAGGAGATATTCAGATGACAAATAAGCATATGAAAAGATGCTCCACATCATATGTTATCAGGGAAATCCAAATTAAAACAATGAGATACCACTACACACATATGAGAATGGCCAAAATCCAGACACTGACAATACCAAACACTGGTGAGGACGTGGAACAATAGGAACTCTCACAAATTGCTGGTGGAATACAAAATGATACAAATACTTTGGAAGACAGTTTGGCAGTTTCTTACAAAACTAAACACACTCTTACCATACAATCCAGCAATCACACTCCTTGGTATTTAAATAAAATAGGTGAAACTTGTATCCACACAAAAACCTGCACAAAGATGTTTATAACAGCTTTACTTAGAATTGCCAAAACTTGGAAGCAACCAAGATGTCCTTCAGTAGGTGAAAGGATAAATAATCCGTAGTAGTACATCCAGACACTGGAATATTACTCAGCATTGGAAAGAAATAATCTATCAAACCATGAAAAGACATAGAGGAAACTTAAATGCATATTACTAAGTAAAAGAAGCCAATCTGAAAAGACTACATACTGTATCATTCCAAATATAGGACATTCTGGAAAAAGCAAAACAATGGAGACAGTAAAAATAATCAGTGGTTGTTAGGGGTTAGAGGTGAAGGGAGGGATGAATAGATGGAGAACAGTGGATTTTTAGGAGAGTAAAAATACTCTGCATGATACCATAATGATGGATACATGTCATATAAATTTGTTGAAGTCCATAGAATGTACAACACCAGGAGTGAACCCTAAGGTAAACTTGAACTTTGGGAGTTTATGATGTATCTGTATAGGTTCATCAATTATAACAACTTTACCACCCTGGTGAGTGAAGTTGACAATACAGGGGCATATGTGGGGGCAGGGGCATATGCGAGATCTCTGTACTTTCGTCTCAATTTTGTGGTGAACCTAAAACTGCTCTAAAAAAGTAAAGTCTTTTTTTTTTTTTTTTTAAGTAATTGTAGCAGGCAGACTGGAACAGAACACCAAAATTTGAAGTAGCAATGAACTGACAGTGAGTTTACCAACTTTCCCTTCAGGATGCCCTAGCTTGGATTTAAAGCAACCCAAACCACAAAAGTGAGCGTGAGTGCAGAGAGAAACAGCTCCTGAAGAAGCCCTCTATTTCTGCCTAGAGGAATGGAAAAGAGCTTTCCTAATTTTTGAGGGAATGGAGGAGATCTCTGGGGATTTTTTTTCCTCCATTCTCTTACCCTCCAGACCCAAGGCAATCCCCATGGGAGTGGCAGCACTGACACAGAAGCAGAGGCATGCAGGTGCCTAAAACTCTGAAGCAGGGTAATGTGTTAATCTGATAAAGGATCTGTGGCCCCAAGAGGGTGGAGTAAATCCCTGTCCTCGTTCTTCTTTCTCCATTTTCCCAAGGGAAGTATGTGGTAGACCATGGTAAGTAAAGCCCCAGCTTTCTGTCCAGAGGACTCAAAAGATTGTGCCAGTTTGGAAAGTACCAGAGAGATCATAGAGCAGGAAGAGAAGGGGACAATGACCCCGTAAAATAATGGGTTCATTCCTGGGCTCATTCCTGAGCAGTGCATGTGTGGATCTGTTCCTAAAAAAGAACACCAAAGACTTTAAGAAGTGAACTAAGTGATAGACCACCACCTGGATCCAAGACTGGCTACTGGGTTGCACCCACATGGGACAGATCAGAATAGCCTGGCAAAAGATTTGAAAACAGAACTGCCATTAAAACTATAAGACACAGAATATTTGTCTGATATCAACTGGGTCAACTGGATGCTGAAACAAAAACATAAACATTTTCTATGGGACTTAACTAAGACCCAGAGTCTCATCACATAATATTCAAAATGCTCTGGATATAATCCAAAATTACTTGGCATATGAACAACCAGGAAAACCTCAATTCGTATGGAAAAAGACAATCAACAGATGCCATCACTGAGATGATAAAGATGTTGTGAGCATCCAAAAAAGAATGTAAGGCAGTAATTATAAAAATGTTCCCAAAAGTAAGGACAAAAACTCTTAAAATGGATGGAAAGATAGAAAGTTTCAGAAAATGAAATGTATAAATAAGAACAAAATGGAAATTTAAATATTGAAAAAATACAGTAGTGAAATTTTTTTCAAGTCACTGGATGGGTTCAATAGCAGAATGATGATAATAGAGGAAAGAGTCAATGAACTTGATGACAGGGCAATAGAAATTATCCAATGTGAACAACAGAAAGAAGAAAGACTGAAAATAATTAACAAAGCTTCAGGCATCTGGGAGACAATACCAAAAGGATTAACATTCAGCAAATCTTAAAAAGGATCAATACAAAGAAATCTCTACCCAGATGTATCATAGTTAAGCTACTAGAAACTAAAAACAAACAAAAAAAGTAGTCAAAGCCAAGAGTGATACATTACCTATAGAAAATAATAAATTGAATGGCAACTGATTTTTCATGACACACAGTGAAGTCCAGAAAGAAGTAGAACATTATTAAAGTGCTTAAAGAAAATAAACATCAACCCAGAATCATATATCCAGCAAAAATATCCTTCAGAAATCAAGGTGAAATAAAGAGCTTCTCAAATGAAGGAATTGGTTACTAGCAGATCTGCTCCAAAAGAATTGTTAAAGGAAAATCTTCAAACACAAGTGAAATGTGAAATGATAGGAGGAAGAAAGGTAGAACATACAGAATGAAAAAGAGCAAAATAAATGGTAAATATCTGGGTAAATATAATAGACTACTCTCTTCTTGAATTCTGTAAAATATGTTTGATAATCAAAAGGAAAAATTAAGACACTGTCTGATTGGATTGTCATTGTATATAGATAAAATTCACAAAAAATCTACAGCATGAAGTAGGAAGATTAAAGGGCCCTAAACGGTAAGATTGCTACATTCAACTTGAAATGGTATAATATTGATTATAAGTATATTATGTAAATGTAAGTATCTATTTAATCTGTAGATCAAATTATACATGTGTGTGTTATTGTCTAAAACATAACAGAAAAATTAAAATGGAATGCTAAAAAAAGTTCAAGTAACCCAAAAGAAAGCAGAAAAGGGGATTAGAAACAAAAAACAGAGGGGGAGAAAGGGGAAAACAAATGCTAAAATAGTAGATCTAAATCCAAACATGCCAAGAATTATATTAAATATAAATGATCTAAACACACCACTTGAAAGGCAGAGATAGTCAGAATGTAATTTTTTTAAAAAGTACCCCAATTACATACTGTCTACAAGAAACACACTTCAAATACGTAAAGGCAAATTAAAAGTAAAAGGATGGAAAAACATATATAATGTAAATATTTATCAAAAGAAGACTGGAGTAGTTATTTTAACATCAGACAAAGCAAATTTCAGGATAAAAATAGATATCACACGATAAAGGGTCAATTCACCTAGTAGACATAACCATCCAAAATGTGTATGCACCTCACAACAAAGTTTCAAAATACGTTAATCAGAAATTGACAGAAATTAAAACAGAAATATAGAAATCTGTAATTATAGTTAGAGATTGTGATCTTCCTCTCTCAGTCATAGA